AAGGGGAGGCCCATCCAGATGGCTTGTGAATACTCACGGCTGTAATCTCTCTCCCTGGTCAACTAATCCTTGTGATTGAATAGTAATAAAAAAAAAAAAAATCCTAAATTGTCTATTGCTCCCAATTCTTTTCCTTCCCAGCTGTGCCATGTAGAATGTGGGCTCTTAATTTTATAGAGTTAATTTCAAATCTCTTTAATCTCTTCCCTTAACATAGTTCATCAGAGAAGTCAATTCCCCTTGTGATTGCCCCTTTCTGATAAGACCAAGCTCAGACTTCTCTTCCTGTTTGCCTTATTCCTATTTCAGACCAGATTAGGTTTGCTGAGCCCTGTCCCGCGCTCCTCATCCTCTCTCATTGCCCTCTGGTGACCTTGGGTGCCCCCCGCACGCCTCGACTCCAGAGCAGCCTTGCGCTTTCTGCTCTCTTTACCTACAGTTACGCTTCAACGTGGCACCAACGAGAGGTGGGGAACCTGCCCCGGCACGGTCCCTCGCCCGCTGCCAGCGCAGACCCCCTGCGTCCCTGCCGTCTGTTACTGGCAACGTGCCAGCGAAGTTACACCCTGGGAACACTGCTTCCTCAGAGGCTGACCCCACAACAGAAAACATCTTTATTCAGTATGCAGCCTAGTATCGTCTCATGTTCTCGTGTGTACCCCTCCATATAGCCGGAGCTTTCTTTCCACCTTATTAAGCCAAAAAAGAGTAAATTGCATACCTTACCCAAATCCGCAGCTCAGCCGTGGGAATGCTGTTCCCTGCTCTGCTGCACAGGGCATCCATTCAAACCTGCAACTATTTCAAAGGCTTTTCCTGAAATCTAAAGTCACTCGTGTGTAATTTTCTCAAGTACTTTTAAGTTGTTCCTCAAACATTGTCATTATGTTAATCTTCTCCCACGTTTGAGACCTCCAGTGAAGTCAGCGATGATGGAATAAGCACCCTCCTGCAAATCACGTTAATCGATCCGCTGCAGTGATCTTACAGCACCTTAGTTAGTTCTTAATTTCTGCTCTCAAGGAATCTATTGGCCCAAATGTTTAATATTTAAAAAAATGGGAAAAAATGCATTTTGTTTATGCTATTTATTAAGGCGATCCTAAAACCACCATGTGAATCCTCCTACCGCACTCCTGACCGCCACCCCATGTCCACAAGCTGCCTGCTATCGCGTCCAAACCCCACTTCCATCCCGTAATGCTGACAAAACGCACGCTCGCACGCCGCCCGCTCCGCTCCCCTCTGCTCAGCCCCGTGCTGGAAGCCCCGCCACCAACGCCATCTCTCCGCTTCAGCCACAGCCACATTTTGAACTCTGGCAAACAGAGCAGAGGAGCTTCTGCTGAAATGGTCCTTCTGCAGCCGCCTGGTGCCTCTGTCGCGGGATGGCTTTTGCTGGTCGGATGGCTGATGGCTGCAGCAGCGCTGCTCACATCACCCAGCCCTGCAGACAGGGCGGCGGGTGCTGCACGGGCTCTGGAAAGCCAGCGCGTGGTCTCAAGGACGGTAACAAAGGCAGCCACTTGTTTTCCCTCGCACCGGTTTCCCCTCACGGAGCGGTGAGGCTATGTCTCACTTTTGCACTCAGAGCAACCCATGGATGAGTGAGGAGCGTATATACGTGCCTTCGGAAACGTCTTCCTCGTTTCCTGCCACCGCACGGGAACAGTTTTGACACAGCAGGAGCAGAAGACACAGGCACCCACTGTTCAGCACCACCACTGTCTCACCGTCTTCACCCAAGCCAACCCTAGCTTCCTCTCCGTGAAATGGAGAGAGAGTGAAAGCACTCGAGTTGCATGTCATTGGGCAAATTAACGCAATAACGATCCATTAAAGGCTATCAAACACAAAGACATTGCCTCTGGCTCAGGAAGACTCTGAACAGAAAATTGCTGCAGGCAGGAATAATATTTTGGGTTGCTTACTCTGTTCTCATAAGTGCATGAAGCACCTGCCATTGGCCACCATGCAACACACAATACTGGCCCGGAGGACCTGTAGCGTGCTCCAGAGCGGCCGTCCTCGTGCTTTTATGTTGCATGGCTATGCCCCCTACTATGGGGATGCAGCTAAAATCCTCCCATCTTTTCCAATTCAACCACCAAAATCTGTCAAAATGCCAAGCCTTCACAGCCAGCATCAGCAGTGTTACTGTGATCCCAGCAGATCCCAGTCATACTCTAGCAGAGCAGCCTGATTTATCAGTAATTTGCATGCATCAGCTGCCTAGGAATGCCAACGCCAACTGGACTATGATCTGCAAGGAGCCATATACGACTGGGTCCGGAACGCCTATTCTGGCATCCTGACACATAGCCCTGGGGGACCTCAGGGTGGGAAGACGTGGTCTTCCTCTCGCCTAAGGGTGCAGCCAAAGGCATGCGCGTACACACGACCTCCTCCTCTGGTCGATTCTGGGGAAACGGGGCCACTATGAGCAAAACTGCCCCCACCAGAACAATGCAGGCACTTTGCTCCCGGCTGCCCTCCTTCACGGCGGTCCCTGGAGACCAAGTTGTATGGGACAGCTGCTTATTCACCTGTGGGAGACGACTCCATTCCGCCACCCTTCCCAGCACCCTCCTCCACGACACAGGCTCTTCATACAGCCAGATGCTGCTGTGGCACGCGTGAGGCAGTGGAGGGGATTTCCCTCAGACTGGAGGGGAAAACGGGAACAAGCCAGAGCCAAGATGGGCTCCTCTGCAGCAGCACACGACCCACAGACCACAGGGTGAGCACCGTTCTCTAAGTACGGTTTTTGGTTTGCCTTACATGGAAAATAAACTGGCCTGAAGGAAAGGGTCTGAGCAAGGGGCCTGAGTTGGCAAGGGATCCTGGGAGCACGCGCCACATAATGTGCACTTCTGGAAATAACTATCCAAACAGCAGGTCTAGTCCTGTGGAGATGTAGCTCGAAAAGAGGGCTTAAAAGCTGCATCTGTCTACATCTGCTGGTCGGGAAGCTCACAGAACTGGTGAGGTTGGACTCTTGAGATCATCCAGTCCAACCTCCTCGCTCAAGCAGCGTGCCCAGGACCACGGCCAGCCAGGTTCTAACATCTCCACAGCTGGAGGCTCCCCAGATGCAGGACTTTGCATTTCCCTCGGTTGAACTTCATGAGGTTCCTCTCTGCCCGTTTCTCCAGCCTGCTCACCTCTTATGGAAGACGTTTCACAGTTTTGAGCACCTGTTAGTTTTCTCTGCCAACTTTTCAAGTATTACTTTTTAAATCTGAAAGACCAAAACTGCACGCACGTTTCAAGATGTGGGTATAGTACAGATTTATACAAAGATATTAAAAATTACGTTTTCCATTTTGTTCTTTTTTTCTTTCCTAACAATTCAAAAAATTCAGTATTTTTTTTTTTCAGGTTTGGACTAGAATCAAAGTAAGCCCCAAATCTTGCTCCTGAGCAGAAGTCAGTCCAACACCTTCACTGAATATGAAATATTAGCTGGTGTTCAGCTGCTGTTTGACCGTCCAGTACCCAGTGTCATCCCTGACCCTCCTTCACAACTGCTTTAGCTGTATTTTCGGACCTACTCTTTTGTCTGGTTTGTTGAATGTCTCCGTGCTGAAGAAGACGTTTTCACTGTGATGTCACAGTGATGCCAGATCTTTATTCCTAAGCAGTTATGAAGAGCTGAAAAATCTTTAATGGGCAAGAGCACCTCACAGTGTTTCTTCTGGTACGTGTTACCTTGCACGTGCCAAAATAAATTTATTTTACTATCACACTGTTTATCAACCCAGCTTGATGCAATCCCATCCACCTACTCTTCTTTTGCTTAAGGAATGTAATTTTGACTCATCTGCAAATTTTGACCCATTTCCTGCCCTTTAAGAGCAAGAGCAACCAGTGACCCCAGCACAGACCTTCTGGGGGTCCCCTGTAGCATTCGGCCATGGTGGAAACAGAACGTTTTCCTCCTCTGTTTTATTTCTTTACTCTTTTCTGAGTCTTAGCAGCATTTTCTCTTTTGTCCCATGATCAGTTAAGACTATAAACAGCCCTGAAGAAGCACGTCACAGGATTTTTGAAAATGAAAGCAAGTTACACACATAACTTTGAGTAAAAAGTGCTCAGACCCACAGAAACAGATTCGGGATAAGAAGCTCAGTAAACCAGAACACATTCGCTGCTTTGTTGGTAAGCTCCACGACTGGCGGATACCTTCGGTTTCGTGTAATGAATTCTCACCATTGGCTCCTGTCACATCATAAGCAATAATGCCCATCTAATTACTTTAATGACCTATAGTTTTTAAGAGCACTAAAGCTTGACTGCAAACAGAGATTGTATTCCACAGCGCAACCCTACGTTTATCCCTCAAACACAGAAACCCAGTGCCACAAGCGTATTCCTGAATCCAACCAGCAGACCCATTCCTACAGCCCAGCCTCCCACGAACACATCCGCCAGCCACACGCGCTCAAGACCAAGCACAAACCAGCAACCTCACCCCTGCTTTCAGGACTGATTCCCTGTGGAGTTTGACCATCTTCCCAAAGGTCAGTCTCCACACCGAGGCGAGCACGCTCAGTTGACGTGTACCAGAACGGCGGTGGTGAGCACGCCTGTAGTCCAGGCAGCACACTCAGCACTGCCGACAGGCTGGAGTGACAGCTGTCTTCATGCCACCCCCTGCACAGCAGCATCCTCCTCTTTTCCCCTCCAGAGCAAAGCTATAACTCTGCATCTGCATCCAACGCATGTTCTTCAGTTCCTGGAGCGCGCCAAAAATTCTCCAGAACGTTTGTTCCTCAACTGACACATGGGCCAGACTGCCCTGCAGCTTCAACGCTTTATCCAACTAAGCCTGATCTAGGACTTATGATTTAGACTATAACTGAATTGACCAAAACAACCAGAAAAGCTTCCTTCCTGTGAAATGACAACAACGTATACTGCTCTGTCAGGAAAAGGAGGTACTTCTTCCATGGAAATGAATCTCCTCGTAATCACAAAGCAAAGATGCCGACGCTTACCTGTGAGAGGTGAAATTGTCGTAAGAGCCCACAGTATAATGTCGGAAGAGACGCTTTGTTCTGTCTTCTCTGGTTTCTACAAGAAAAAAAGACATATGAAAGCTGAGAGTTAAAGGAACACTTCTCTGTTGTCTCTGCTTCCCCTACATGTACACGAACAGAGTGAATCCTGCTTTCATGCAAGCATTTATTAACAAACAAGTAATAATCTGTGTGCAGACATGTGTCAATGTGATCAGTCCCATGCATGCTTGTGGACAGTCCCATATGCACACAAACGGCTCTGTGAATGTAAGACCTCTTCACTAGAGCTTCTAAACACATCAAGGCGTCCAACTTCACCAAGACTCCAAGGCAGAGCCAAAGAGGAGAATCACCGCCAGTAAGGCAAACACACACTCCACGTCCCAAGGCAGCAGCCAGATTCCTTCCCCTTCTTCTGTTTGGCCATGTCTTGCACGTCTCAAGGCAGAAGGATGTAGTCCCCACAGAAAAGATGGTAATAGTCCTGGATAGCCTTCCTTCTCACCTGGTGGTCACTGAGCTCTCCAGGTGCACAGGAGTTATGAGGAAGGAAAGCCGGGAACCCAGAGAGACTTCTGCTACCACTCACCTATTAACTCCAGCACCATCCCCAACAGCGCTTTGGCCAAAGTCAGGGCAGCAGGCTTTTCAGGCTGTACTTGTTGGATCAAATCTCCCCTTTAGGGTGTAGCAACCCAGGAGCCTACTCGCCTGCCTCAGAAGCGTGAAAAAGCCAGAGAACCTGCCAGCCTGATCTGTGAAGCCAACAACAAGAGAGATGCCAGGGTCTCCAGGCTGCTGGATGCTGAAGGAAGGCAGCCTGACTCATGGCAAAGTGGACAGAGATGCCACTGCAGACATCCAAAATATGGTCTGCAGCTCATGGCTTAAGAGATGACGGGAGATAACAGGGAGATAACAGGGAGACGGAGAAGAATTTCAGCTACCCTTCTCCTAAGACAGAAGGAATTTGCATCACTACCAAAAATGAATTTATTGCATGACCCAGGCTTAGCACGTAAGACACCCTGCAGAAAGCAACTGGGTCCTCGCACTAACCCGACTGAGTACGTTACATCGAACCAACTCAGCCATGCCTACAGTAGGGTGATGGGACTCCAAGCAACCAGGGAACTCCACTCCTCTACCTTGTCACCACTTCCCTGTGAAGCCCTCGGTGCCGTTCCCTGCACTACTGGCTACAGCACCAGGGAGGCTGTTGGTCTGGTTTAAATTCAGCTGGTCTTTAAGCATGCTAAGTAGGGCTGTCAGGGAGAAGGAACGAATCAAGGGGATGAATAAGAGAGGAAATAAAGAGCAAAGTATAGATGAGACTCACCTACGTAGGTGAGTAGGGACATAAACTGTTTGCACCCAAAGCAGTAACAACACAAACCAAACATTTGTTTTTACCTGCGTTGGAATTCAGAACGTCACCAGCCCGTGGGAAGGGGCTGCAAAAGCAGAGGGGCAGCGTTGACCGTTATTACAGCACTGTTGAGCCAACGAACTTCGTTTTAAGCTCAGGACAGGATGCACTTTCAAACCTTTCATCCCGGTCTCACGATCACATGAAACCATGGCTGCTGGCAGAGGGAAATGCTGCCACAGCAGACACAACACCAGTTTCCCACCCTGGGGACAGACGACAGCCCTTGAGGTGGCAGCAGCAGCCACGTCACCCCACCAACGCGCGGTCCTGCCTCTCACGCGTCCCTAACAGGCGCTGGCTGCCCTCCGCTGCCGGACACCACTTCCAGAGACCTGGCTGTAGCCTCTCCGATCCCAAAGGCACCTCTGGGGGGGTATGGGTACGCACTTCAGCACAGGCGTCCTGCTCTTGGGGAACCTCACCCTCGGCACGCACCTCCATTTCACATGCAAAACATGCTTACTGTTGGCAAGGTTGAAAGAACAATTAACTTTACCAAAGTTTACAAATAAAATCACCAAATACAGTACTTGTTTACACTATTGAAAACACAGCTTTGGTTCCGTCCATCCGTCCGTCCGTCCGTGTCCCCGTCCCCCCCCCCCCCCCCCCCCCCTCCTCTCTCCCTCTTCTCTTCTTCCGCG